AACTTTTATATAAATGAAAAGAATGCATGTAACAACATTTTAATATTAGAAAATATACACATATGGATAAACTTATAGCTATAATTCCTTATTGTATGTGAAACTGTACTTGAGTGATGAGTATAAAACATGAAGTTATTTATATTGAATTAAAGGTAGGTATTCTCAATATACAGGAAGTAACATAAGTACTTTCAAGTGAAGTATTCCTGAGAAAATTATAAGAAATAGTCAATATAAGCTTTTGTGTCCGGAAATGCTTCATTTCGGAGATACAGAGTGTTGAAATACAGGGAACAAATCATTTTTCGATAAACATTTGATAGGAAAAAAGTAGTTTATTTTGACGAGACCTACCAAATACTTGGTTTTGTAAAGTTCTCAGCAACTCCACTTAGCGCCCTAGGAGCTAAGTAACATGGATCGATATAGAAAATATCTACAAAACGTCCAGCGTAATTAAGGCCCTCATAATAATTTCCTTGATACATAAATAACTATTCACTTTTCACTGTTAAATTTTAAATTTGGTCGGCACCAAAAACGCCATTCAATAATATATCACTTTGTAGTTTACTTGCTTTTCTTAGTTTCGTTTGCAAATTCTCAATTTCATTATGTAATTTTGTGATCATTTCCTCTTTTCCATGATAATTTTGTTTTGTATTTTGTGTGATGATAATAATGGAATTTTGTTCTCGAAATCGCCTGCTTTGAAATCGACAAACAGATTTCGAAATCTTCTGTTTGAAAATGAGCCTAAAATATAGTTTCATTCTAATCAGATGCTGTTATAAAAAGTGAATTTCAATGAGTACCTCACAAATTTCGCTCGTCTTCAAATTGATTTTGCACCCAGGCCATTTCATATCTTCCTTCCATAAGCGAATGGTTGATATTTGTTTCGGAAAATTGAATAAATGATATCCATTCTTTCCAGAATTGGCACAATTCATTACACAGCAAGTAATTTCCATAGCTGCTTTTATCTCGAATGTATAATTATGAAATTTAATTTCAATTCTGACGTTTATGAAATGTATTGTCAAATTCAAACAATTTTGAATGAAAAAGTGCGGGACGACTATGGTGCTCTTGTCACAATGCAAGGTGTGAAACTTAATAAATCTAAACATTCAAAAACCCTAACCGTTGTCATTTCTGTGTCCGAACTCTTATCAAACTAATAACATCCAGTGACTCTAGGTATAGGGAATGCTTGAGCAACTCATACTCATTATTTTTTTCATATGGTGTTGAAAAAATAGTAGTTGACATTTGAAAGAATTCAGTTTTCAGGCAGTTACTCAATACGACATTTGAAAATCGCCCATATGGTACAAAATGGAAAGATCGATGGGACAGCAGGAGTTAGCCTGGACTTTCAGCTAACTGTTTCACAAATTTGGTACTTTAATTCTACAAGATCTAAATGTTTTCTTGACCTACTACGGCGTTAATTATTTTCAGAAAAATCGACATATTTCGAAAACTATAATAAAAATACATAAATTATGTTGTCCAAACTCGAAATGAGAATGCCAATCAAAACGTTTGAGAAAATGTAGGTTTTTTATTTGAAAAAAGGAAGTCGATGCTGACTATAGCTGGAGGACTGAAAATATTTCACGTAGATTGGAAATGATTGATAATGACAGCGTTCCAACTTTCAAGTTTTCGATTCAACTGCAACTTGGGAAACTCCTGATGTGTAGTCTACGTGAATCACCCAGTATATCATTGAAATCCGAAATAATCATTCTTTCATGATACACGATAAAATAAAGGGTGTTCGTTCCATTTGAAAAAAGAATATACTCGTACACCCTCCTCCGTATACCGAATGGTATTATCATTAAAGTTTACTATTCGAAAGCGAACAAAATCTGATTGGAAATTCTGCTTCAAAGTTTTCATCATCTCAATCAGTTTTCGAGATATCGAGTGTTTGAAGAATATTCCACAGTCAATCACCCGATCATTACATTTCCATCCCGTATACGGCAGAGACAAAATCGAAATTGAATGCAGATCTTCTTTGTGATTCATGTTTCGACTTCTAGGAGTCATTATCAGGCTTATAGGTTAAGAGAAGGAAAAAAACATCAAATAATATTGCTAACAAGGTTGAATGCACTTTTGCTGAAGTCTTTGTTAGCTATGTAAAAAACTTCACAAAAGATAAACTTCCACAAAATTCTTAATCACCCGACATGTTTTGCTAACACAACACAGTAGCTTGGCTAACTTTTATATCCTACTCTCCCAACCTGAAGGATTAGAATTACCTGTGGGAAGGTTCGATCAACCGCAAAGTAGGCACAATATCTCCATTAAAATATGATGTATACCAGATTAACTTGAAAAGGTTGATAGCAAATACAATACGAATTATTACCTACTAAGAAAAAAATCAACAGCAGCGAATTATTGAGGTCTACGCTAAGTAAAATGTTTTTGCGTTAGTTGATTTCTAATGATTCCAGTTTATTGAGAGTTTCATCCCTATATTTTCTACGTGTAATATGTACATGAAAAAAGTCATTCCGGTTCTAATACCAATGTATTCTTCAGTTTCTTTAGGTCACGAGAGTAAATTTTAAAATATATCTACGCAGTTATATTTTATCCGCCGATTAACTTGTGAACGCGATTTTAGATTTTTGTTTAGTTTTCGTCATCGTAATCAGCAGAAAAAATACTACTAGTTTGTCCATTTAACCTACTTTGTAGCAACAATTCAAGTTAGCAATAGTGACGACTTCAATTTGAAAACGGTGAATTTCCACCATGCATTTCACATGAAGTTGAATCATCTTGTCAGTGTAAATAATAAAGAATCCCATTCACCTAACCCCAAAAAACACTCAAATCAGCCTTCAAAAAGACGTGGAGGACTCCCGAAAAACCAACCGCAGACTGCAAAAGGAGCGCGAAGGCAGCTTGAAGAACCTGCTGGACAAGAACTCCTTCAGGAGTTGCCCGGAGAAGTTGTCGTCGCAGGCGCGATCGAACAGCGCCAGCTCGGAAAAGGAGTTGCGAACGGAAAAGGAGTTACGAACGGAAAAGGAGTTGCGAAACGAGAAGGAGTTGCGTAGGGAGGAGGAGACTTTGCAGAGGTTGAAAAGCGAGAGGGATGCGTTGAGGAGGCAGGTGATCGGGCTAGAGGAGGATTTTCGGGCGCTGAAGACTAAGAGAATACAAGACGTGAGTTTCGATATTTTCAAATCTCTTTATTCCTACTGTGAAAAAATCGTGTTTTTTGAAATCACC